ATTAGTTGTTTGAGCATGTATTTCTATGTGTACCTGCGTTGCGTGTATGATTCGCGAGCAGGGTGTTTGTTTATTTATGTTGATTGCGTTGCATGTATGATTCACGAGCGGGGTAATAGATGCATCTATGGTTCGCATCGTTCGACCCTCGACAATGCACATTATATTTATGTTGGATCGGGCCATACAACCTCGGCATGATTTGTGCATGCTTGTATTGCTTGCCTTGAGATTTATCGATATTGATATTTTCCCTCCCAGGCTTGAGATAATTGAAAATTAATAGATTATGAATCCGGAGATTTTTAATATAAAAAGAAACTTTTACTTGTTCGTGACTTATTTGAAATTACTGCCATTCTTAATAACCCCATGATTACTCGCATTAATAATATATTATTATTGGACAACTAGTAAGTGTCGAAGTCGACCTCTCCTCTCTACTTCTTCGAGATTAGACGGGATACTTATTGGGTAAACGTTGTTTTCATACTCATACTACACTTGTTGTGCATTTTTGTTGCACAGGTTTATGTGTGGCTAGTGGCATAGTTGATACGAAGACTTAAATAAGTTGCATTTATCGAGACGACCGTAGTCAGTAGAGTCTCCTTCAGAGTATTATACTGTATTTTTATTTATGTCCACTTGTATTCCGGACAGTTACCGTATTTTATTTCATTCCTAGTAAATGCTCATGCACTTGTGACACCAGGTTCTGGGATGATTATGGGTTATCTTGTAATAACCTTTTTTTAACATTCATATGCGATTTGAAATGATTATCTTTTACTGGTAAAATTGAAGGAAAATCATAGTTTTTAAAAATTTTAAATTGAGAATTTAGTTAAGTATTTTGGTTGGCTTGCCTGACAGCGGTGTCCGGCGCCATCACGACCCTTAGTGGAATTTGGGTCGTGACAGGAATCAACCCTTCCTGAACCAATATATCAAACATGCTAAGGAACTGCGCTAATGTCTCCTGAAGTCCAAGGGTAGCAACAGGCGTCTCAGGTATCTGCTCCCCAATGGAAGCTATTGGTGGCTCCTCAGCTGTTGCTCTAGTAGGTGATCTAACTATAGCATGTACCCTTCCTCGGCCTCTACCTCTGCCTCCACCGGCTCCTAGAAACATCGGTTCTCATGGAAACATCGTCAGTAATTGCAGCTCGTGTCCTCACCATCTATAAGAGAATAGAATAATGAAGGCTCAAACTCCAAAATCAATAAGTCTGCACGAAAGGAATGAAAGAAGTGAAGTTTCCTAACAGTTCTGTAGTCTCTCGAAGATAAGTACAGACATTTCCATACCTATCCGTGAGACTCTACTAAACTTGCTTATGACTTGTAGCACTTATGAACCTAGAGCTCTAATACCAACTTATCACGACCCAAAGTCCTACCTCAAGGATCGTGATAGAACCTAATCCCTAGGACTAGGTAATCCTAACACATGCAAAGTTATTAACAGATTTAGAACAATTAACCATCAAATATAACTAGTAAATGACATAACTTAACTTAAATGAGTATTTAATCATGCAATCCCAAAATTGGTAGTACGAAGTCATAAGCTCTACCGAGCACACTAAATCTATGTACTATTTTGGAATGAAAATAGAAGGTGACTCTGAGGCCTACGAACGCAATGGCAGGTGTACCTTGAATTCACCGCAACAACTCACAATCATTTAACTAACGTCCAGTATGCTCCGAGGTGCTTGGATATGCACAAAAATATGCAGAAGCATAGTATAAGTACACCACAATCGATACCCAGTAAGTATCAAGACTAACATCGCTGGAGTAGTGACGAGGTACAAGTCAAGACACCTACTAAACATAACAACCTGTGCAAGTATTAATATAAAGCTAACAGAGGAATGAATATCAATACAAAGCTAAATATAGAATGAATAACAATTTAAAAGTTAGCAATGGAAAGTAAAAGCAACAAATGGCAACAAGGTAACCAGGTGATAATGCAGCAAAGTAATTAGAACACAGTTAAACTACCAGTGAAGTCAATTAAGGAGAATGAATGACAACCAAATAATCAAGTTGTTCTAAGACCAAATTTACTACAAGAATCACCCCGAGGTACCACACCTGATAATCATAGATAACGAGTCCCAAATCATGAATCATATACATTTGGCACCCCGTATCCACATGATACATCTCAACTGTACGGACACCACACGTGTTGCATGGACAACTCTTGTGCCAACAACATAATCCGTCTGACATGGTCGCAGGCAAACTATCACAATTCGCTCGGCGTGGTGACATGACAATGTCACAATCCGTCCAACATTATCATAGACTCAATATTCCATTTTGTTTGCCATGATTACAGGCTCAATATCCCAATCTGCCTGGCATGATCACAGGCTAACAATCCAACCATATAGCAATGAAAGCAGATATACAAGAATACATGTGCATAAGAAAAAAATATCAAGTTTCATACTCTTGAACTAATATAAATGATATGTTACGGTGCATGCATATGCAAGTATACTAGAACAACCCAAGTCAACATGCATTATCAAAGACATCGAGTAGCACATTGGAAACAACATCATAAGTCACGTAATATGCATGACATACACAAGGAACATCACATCATTACACGAATATCATCAATAACATTTCCCCAGGATATCACATATTATTTCTGATATAGTCTCCCTTGTCTCGCCGCGTGCGCAACAATATTATAAATACCCGCTTTGTCTCACCACACGCTCATCAATAATTATCCCATCTTGTCTCGCCATATGTGCAAACCCAACATATGTATATAGCCCACCTTGTCTCATCGCATGTGCAATATCACTAATTACAATAGTACGGCAGAATCTCATGCAAACACCACAATCTTCTCAACAGGCCCATATGTGCCAAGAACACAACATAACAACTCGCACCACACGTGCCCATATGTCACAATATTTTCATAACAATAATACCAATATCATAGTAATATATAGCCAACGGCTCAACAACACTGAGTACAAAAACAACAACAATAACACAAGAGTACGAAAAGTAATCAGCATAAAACTTACAACAACACAATGAAATGGAATAATAAACTCGACAACAAAAAAGATAACACATAGTAACTACTTAAAATATGAATGACTCAACAATTAAAGAGGTAAAATTTAATGAAAACTTCAAATAATAATAACTCAACAATAAAAGAGGGTACATGAAAATAAAAGGAGGTAACAACTTTAATTAAAGCATATAAGAGTAAACTTGACAATGGAGGATATAACATGATATGGCAACGTCAATTAAACACATATAAGAAACCTAAGAGTCTAAACCGGTCAATTTACACATATAAGATCGTGTACACACTCGTCACCTTGTGTACATGTCTTTCACGTAATTCAAATAGTGCAATTAAACCAATCCCTACGGGGTAGTTCCCCCACACAAAATTAAGCAAGATACTTACCTTAAAAGCCCTCAATCAATACTCTATAAATGCTTTGCCTCTACATTTTACCTCTTCTCGGCTCAAATCTAACAAAAATTGACTAAATAATGCAAGAAAAATTAATTCTAATAAATAAAATTAAGGTCTTTGAACAATTCCTCAAAAGTCAACATCGGGCCCCATAGTCAAAACCCGAGTCCAAGGGTAAATATCGACTACCCATAATTGCACGAGTCCATATATCTATTTTTTTCAAATCCGAGTCTGATTCGACTCTCAAATCTCAAGTTTTTATTTTTCAATATACAGACAAAAATTTCAAAAAAATTCCCTTAAAAACTCATCATATAGATGTTAAATCTCATATATAATCATGTAATATAATTGAAAATTGGTCAAAATCACTTACCCAATAGTTGTGTGTGAAAATTCCTCCTCAAAACTATCTCCTACCGAGTCTAGGGTTCTAAAATATGATAACATGAAGCAAAGTCCCGTTTCTAGCTCTTTTATTAAGGTGCAGAAGTCGCAAATACGACCTAGGGTTCGCATATACGAACCCTGGCAAATGTAGATAATCAATAGCAAAGACGGCGCCTGATGAACCCAGGTAAAGTTGCAAATGCGACCCTAACATCGCATTTGCGAAGTAAGGCCCTTTGCAAAAGCAATCATGGGATCCCAAATGCGATCTGAAGCACTAGCAACACCAACAAAATTGTAACCATTCAAATACTCCGGAATACGTTTGAAACTCACCCGAGTTCCTGGGCTCCATACCAACCAACCACACAAGTGCATAAACATCATACAAACTTGCTCGCGTGATCAAAATACCAGAATAACATCCGGAATCACGAATCGTGCATCAAAACACATTACAATCATGACGTCAAACTTTGCTGACAAGTCACAATGATAAAACAGACCTATTTCAAGTACCGAAACCAAAATTCTAACTGGTAGCCAATAAGTCAAACGTGGTCAAACTTGAGAAAATTATAAGCCTTCAAATTGCCAACTTTCGGAAAAACAAGCCAAATCGATGTAGGGACCTCCATATTCTATTCCGGGCATATGCAAAAGTCTAAAATCACAACACAAACCTATCGAAGCTATCAAAATATCGTTCTAGGGTCCTTTTTACAAAAGTCAAACATTGGTCAATATTTCTAACTTAAGCTTCTAAAATAAGAATCATTCTTCCAAATAACTTAGAACCGAAATCTTATATGCACGCAAGTTATTCGGTACAATATGAAGCCATGAAGGACCTCAAACAGCTAAACGAAACACTAAAGCTCAAAACAACAGGTCGAGTCGTTACAAAAAATTCGGGAAAAAAGTTTCCGACCAAAATGGCCGAAAATAGAAAGTCAAAAGTATACAATTTACCCGTGTTTCGATCGTTTACATTGGAATTAATTATTTTTAATCTTTACGATGGATTCGGACGCAACCTATAAAAAATATTTATCATTTAAATATCTCGACTGATTCGGTCGCAAAAAGTCACATAAATCGAGGCAATCCTGTCAAGCCATTTTAGATGATCGGTAAAGCCACGAGTTCAACACCAAGTTCTTGGTCAAGACGCTTGAGGAATCAGTTGAAACCAAGTTCTGCTAAAAGCAGTTAAGTGATGTGTTAAGATATTTTTCCTTTGACACCGTTTGCAACGAGTCAGAAGGCACCCACCTTCATTGTTTGTATGTTTTCCTGGAAAGTTCACGGAGAAAAAGTCACAAAACAGAGCCACATGGAGAGGGTGGCTTTTTTAAGTCTCAACTCTCATGTGCAAGTGACGTGGTATATGTCCGTTTATTTTAGCCTGTGTTTGGTACATATTTTTAGTTGGGACTATTTGTGCTCAAGTTTTGCAAACTTAGAGGACAAATAGTGCTCATGGTTATATTTAAAAGATAATATTGTGTTTATCTTCAAACATAAGGGATAGGTTTAGCCAAAAACTTTGTTGAACCGCGTGCATCATAGACATATGTAAGATTCTAAATTAGATACTACCTTTATTTTTAGTTAAGATTAGTTTGTTTATATAATGTTTATCATCTTTATTCCAGGAAGGGTATCAAAGAAGATTGGAGGAATGACAGCAAATTCAGTCTGATTCCCAACCGTCGCCCAAAGATATGACTTCAATATGCACATAGGCAGTCAGTAGAGTAAATAAAGGTATAGAACTTTATAGCAATATTTGTTTTAATATTATTTTACACAAGTTGAATGTTTCCCCTTTCTCATTTAATTTTTTTTTAAACTTTTTTTTTACTTTTTTTTAACTTCTCATGAAAATAAATAAACGTAGAGTCTACGGACTTAGAGTACAATAATCATCCAGTCGTCCAGCTACACTATTCAGTGATGCTTCTGCTTCTCCCAAAGAAATTGAGACTACGAACACAAACCAATAATTTGACGCAACAATGGAATACTGCTCAAGATATAATAAGTATGATGCATACATTCATGGAAAAGCATGGCAACAAACATACAATGGAGGAATCAAACAATGAGGAGTAGTAATTTGAAATGTATATAATATTGAGACATGATTGCTTTTGACTTGGTTGGTTTTAGACTTGGAATATGTGTTTTACACTTACATTTCATTTGGTAGAAAGTTTTAGACTTTAATGTAGTTTAATAGATGTGTTTACGCTTGTTTGAAGATGTTGTAATGTTTACTAGTTTGATATTTGATGTTTTGAGTGCAATTGCTTGAGCAACTGTGATATATATTAGGCTAAATGATTGGTTGAATAATTGGTTTTGATTTGGTAGGTGATGTAGCTTAAAATACAGTAGAATTCTACTGAAATTTATCAAAATTTGCGTCTGATTTCTGACCATTGTAGTCAGAATTGCAATGGAAATTCTTAAATTTTCTACTGAAGTGATCGAAAATATTAATTATTTATTAAATTAGTTTTAATATTTCTGATCGATTTGGTCGAAAATGATTAATATAATTTAAATTAATTATAAATATACCGACCAAATCGGTCGGAATTTGTTAAATATTACTAATATTTATTTTTAAATTTATGACCGATTCGGTCACAAATTTACTAGTCAAATTGGTCGCAAGCTTTGAATTTATCCGTTCGCCCTGATTTTTCCTCTTTGCAACCAAAATGGTCGAAAATTTCAGACTGTTTCGGTCGAAAATTCACCCAAAATAATAGATTTTTTACCGATTTTCGACGAATTTGGTGATCGAAAAAGTGACATTTTCCAATAGTGGTGGTTATGATTTATTTACTAATTGTTAATGTTATGTGTTTTTTGAGAAGACAAAAATTGCATGTCGAAAGTGACTTTTCTAACCAAATTTTAGTTTTCTGGTCAAGTTCTCTAATGATTATCCATGTCGAAAGTGATGAGGGGTCTAAAATTTTATTGCGGAAGCGAGGAGACTGTTGGAGGGAAGAGAATAGATGGGGAAAGAGAGTAAAATCTGAAGCAGACGACTGTGCACTGCTAAAAAATCAGGTTTTAGCGATGGACAATTTTTTTAGCTAAACAGAAAAATTCGTCGCTAATTTCCTTTAGCAACGGATTACCAACGGATTATCAAGAAATTCTGCTAGCTACGAGCGTTTTAGCGACAGATTAGCGACGACGTTCGTAGCTAATTCCAATTTTTTGTAGTGGTGGAGACAGCGACGGCATGTGTTTATTAACTTCCAAGATCGGGTATTTGAGTGGGTATTAAGATTTAAAATGGGGCTTTATAATAATAATAATAATAATAATAATAATAATAATAATAATAATAATAATAATAATAAAGGGTTAGGGTTTAAGATGAAGTCACGTGTAGGAGAAAGGTTGGGGTCTAAGGTCTGTTAGATGAGAGGGTAGATGTGTTTATATAGGCAACAACGAAGGTAAAAAGTATCGAATAGTATAACAGAGGTTACTATAACTAATATGTCATGGTACAGAGGAAAATATAGCCCTCTTCTGTTTAAAATAAGAGTTATTTATATAATTTGTGAAACCATAGCCCCTTAAAAAGATATGTTGGAATTTCTCTCAGAATTTCATCAGGGCTCAACATAGGTATCAGACACTAAGCGGGAAATATAAATTAAAAAAATACTGTAACTTAAGATTGTCATTGAAGAAAAAATGCCATTTATATCAACGAATTTAGTGTCATAAGTTAATAGTGTAGGAATTCTCTCTCTCTCTCTCTCACACACACACATATATATATAAAAAAAAAGTATAAAGTCCCCTTAGCGAAAGATTGTTCGCTTTTTTCCCCTTTTAAAATAAAATTTGTAATAAAAAAAATATCGTTTACCTATTTTTCAAATATTTAGGAGCTTGAAACTAAAAAAATTGACTACTAAGCCTTTCCATGTTTGGGCTATATATAAATTTCTAATATTTAAAAATTTAAAGTCAAGTATCATTTAAATTATATAGATATTCCTTATTTGATTTTAGGTAAAATAACTATTAACCTTTCATTGTGTGGATGTTCCTTCCTAAAAGGTTAACTCTCTCACGTACTAACATTATATATACTTATATTTTCTTGATAAATTTAATTATATGTTTCAAGACACAAGCTAACCTAAAAAAACTTAAAAATCTAAACAATCCAGCAATTTTATTAGAGATCTTTTTCTTTGTATACAATATTTGAAACTTGTTTACCAAAATTATTCTAATTTTGTATATTACCCACCTTAAACAAGGATTACATACTATCACGACTTGAATTCTAATATGTCGTGATGGAGCCTAACGTGGTACTAGGCAAGCCGATATTTAAAATTAACTCCAACACATATAACAGAAAATGGATTTAAAGCAGTTTAAATAGTAACTTCTCATAAGCAGGATAGAAAAAATTCCAAAGCACAACGCGGAAAAACTCCCAGATTGAGGTGTTACAGAGTATATGAGCATCTAAGTATCACAAGTTTAGGAAAACACTGTCTATGATAGTCCACAACTAAATACAATAAACGGAAAGATATGGAAGGAGAAACAAGGTCTACAAACGTCGTGTAGCTACCTCCAAATCTCCAAAAGGATCAACTGCGTAGAGAATCAACGCCCATAGTGTCCAAAAATACCTGGATATGCACACGAAGTGCAGGGTATAGCGTGAGTACAACCAACTCAATAAGTAACAAGACTAAATAAAGAGCTGAAGGTAGTGACGAGCTACACAGTTATAGTTCAATTTTAGTAGTCTCAACATAGGAAAGTAGGCATATTTTCAAGTCCGGCAATGTAAGTCAAATCGGTTAATTCATGTTAAGTTCAAGTAAAACAGGACGTAATATCTCTCAGAAATTTTAAAACAATGATATATGACAGGTAAATACAACAATAATAAAATCAAATGCATCATCTCGGAGCAACAGTCACTCAGTCCTCTCATTCACTCCAACTTCACAATCATCCATTCCTCACAGTCACTCACTCCTCTTAGTCTGTAACGACCCGGTCGGTCGTTCTGAGAGTTATAGCCTCGTATTCCCTATTTCTGTTTCTTTATGTATTGTTCATCTGTGTTAGTTGTATTGAGTTGGTCGGTTTAGGTTCGGAGTAATTTTGGAGTGAAATGACCACTTAGTCTCTTATTAGAAAGCTAAGTTAGAAAAGTCAACCAGAAGTTGACTTATGAGTAAACGAATTCAGATTTGAATTTTTATGAATTGATTAGCTTCGTTGGGTGATTTTAGACTTAGGAGTTTGTCCGGAATATAATTTGGAGGTCCGTGGTAGAATTAGGCTTGAATTGGTGAAAGTTAGAAATTTTGACGCTTTTGGTCGGCAGCGGAAAATAAGGTATCGGGGTCAGAATGAAATTCCGTAAGTTGGAGTAGGTTTGTAGTGTTATTTGTGACATGTGTACAATATTTTAGATCATTCGTACGTGGTTTGATAGGTTTCAGAGTCGTTGGAAAAAGTTGGAAGTTTAAAAGTTCTTAGGCTTGAATTCGAGGTTGATTTGGAGTTTTGGTGTTGTTTTGGGTGTTCCAGAGATTCGACTAAGTTCGGGTAGTTATATATGACTTTTTGAAATTATTGGTTGAGGTCCCGAGGGTATCGGGTGAGTTTCAGAGAGATTTGGGTTGTGTTGCGCTTGTTTTTCTTATATTTCAATGTCGTTTCTTCAAGCATAAATGATATCATATTGAATAAATGAGCTCCGATTTCTTTGTTAATTAAAGTATTAGAACAGTATCGTAATTACGGACCCATAGCAAAAACAATCGTCGAATTTGAATATTGTATGAGGATTTTATGGTCATTTTACTAAGAATTAGGTTGCCAGATTTTTCAGATTAATTACGAAATTGCCACTAGCAGCGTATTTAAATTTTTTTATTATTTGCAAATATTAAAACCTACATATTTCATTCATTATAAGGTCAAATAGAGTGATTCAAAAGTCTAACTTGACTAAAATTTTACAAGAAATTCATTAGAGGAATAAAATACGAGTTTCGAGGATCGTTTGGTACGAGAACGAGATAGAATAGCTGGCAGAAAAATATATAAAACTAGGATTTGTTCATTCGGTCATATTTTGAGTTGGGGAGCTCGGATGTGGGCGATTTTGGAGGCGATTTTAACCAAATGGATTGGGTAAGTGTTCTCTACTCGATTTTTGTTATATTTCATGAATCCATCATAGTTTTTAGGATTTGATTGATGATTTCAAAGTGAAATTGAGGGAGTTAGGGTTTGCGTTTTGGAGAGTTTTAAGTGAGGATTTGAGGGATCAAACGGAGTCCGATTTTGATAAATTTTATATGGTTAGACTCGCGAAATAACGAGGTTTATTATTCTTCCATTTTGACTAGTTTCGAGAAGTTGACCCAGTGGCCGAATTATGGCCGATTTCGGATTTTTGGCATATTTTGTAGTTTTTATTGTGGAATTCGATTCTTTAGCATATGGTGATGGTATTAATTTGATTATAGTTAGATTCAGAGCTTTTGGATACCGAGTCCCGAAGAATTTTATATCATATGATTGATTAGAGGTGATACCCACGCTAGGTGATGGGCGTGTGACTGTATACCTCGAGAGATTGAGACTTGGTCCATCCCGTGGGGCCTCATAGCCATCATCTGTGTTTACGTAGTTACTTGTTTTTGAACTTATCTGCCTTCATGTTAATGATCATGCTTAGGATTTATTCATGCTCACATTATTTGTACTCAGTCATAGAAATTATTGTACATGTTTACATCAGTCTTTATTATTTGCTAATATGCTGTGATACTTGATGTGGTCTGTGTTCCCTTATTTGTTAATGATGGTGAGGCTGGTGAGGTACATGATTAAGTAAGGCTGAGGGCCTGGTTGTGAGGATATTAATACCATAGCGCATGAGTTATTCGCGCAGCACGTGAGTTGATCGTGCGAGTCCAGGTATTGATACCATAGCGCGTGAGCTGTCCGCGTAGCACGTGAGTTGACCGTGCGGATCTAGGTATTGATATGATGGCATGTGAGTTGTCCGTTCTTAGCGCTTGGGATTTGGGAGCCCCTCTGAAGTCTGTACACACCCCTAGAGAGCACAAATTGTTGAGTGTATTGATTGTTGAGTGTTGAGTGCGAGTGTTGAGTGATGGAGTGAGACATTGCTATGAAGTTGCATTTACTTTTGCTGTTGCGGCATTTATCTGTTAAATTATTTTGTGGCATTTACTG